TTAGACACGAAAATGTTATTTTGTAAACTTGTCTCATTCATATTCAACACACTAGTCACTAAAACTCCGCTATTGCAATTTTCTGATATCACCTGAGGTCCATAGATTAGTTTACGTCCGATCATGGCCACCTAGATGCAATTTTAAAAGTGACTCTGAAAAAATCAAGTAGGCTGAAAAACTTCCGGAAATGTCAGTTTCTGATCCAGAATTGTCTCAGAAATCCAAAAATGTTACAATATACAGGGTGTTCCATTTAAAAATTCAGAACCGGAGCCATTTCCGCTGAAACCGGAAGTGACCGGAAAATGAAGAATATGTGAAAACATTCCTCTCCACATACCATTCAATTATACCAAATCTCATTTCAATTCTCCTAATAGTCTAGAAATTATGACTTGTCTAATAGATTCGTTGACACCCGGTATTGTACCATTCATTTCTACGGTCAGTCGTAGAAAAAGTATAGTACGCACCTTGAGGATAATGCCAATTATGTCCACTTACGAATTATCGCACTCGGCTAATGCTTCGTGCTTACAATTTTCCGCTCGTCGGTAATTGGCTTCTTATCCTACTCGTTACGTAATATACTAATAAATTGTTTGCGCAACTTTGCTCAAATCGTGAGTTACTCTGTGTAAAATTATGAATAGAATGGCATCTTAATCATAATTTTCGATGAGGGCGAACTGAAATGGTGTGAAATACCACTTGTGAGCTAGACCATTACTCGCTGAATGAAATAGTTGGAATTATTGCAGTGTTAGGTGATGAATTCCAATGATAACACTTTTCCACAGCAGAACAAAAAAAACAGTCTCTCGACGCGCGTCTCCATATAACCAAGTTAACATCATCAGGAGATGACTAACACTAAATCTTACAAATGAGTTCCTAGTATTTTGCTTAGTAGTGCTGTTTTTTTGGCCTCCAACTGTTCAACCGGTCCCCGTAGACCAAAGGTGTCAAACTCAATTTCGCAGAGGGTTATATATTGAATTTAGAATGTGTAGGCGGGTCAGATTCGAATAGAAAGTAAAGTTGGTACGTTGGTAAATTCCCTAATTTACTTCTTTAGTTAGAAAACCAAATATTGAGATAAATAATTTATTCTTGAACTTGTGATGCACTGTTTGGTACCTTTGATGTAGTAATGTACAGGAGTTTTTCCCAACACCAAACCGTTATTTTAAAACCTCTACACGTGTTTCGATCACCAAGTGATCATCTTCAAGAGGAAGATGTGTTAGTCCACTATCTCGAATTGAAAAAATATTTGCAAAATTGAACGGCGGTAAGAGTTTCACCAAATTGGATTTGAACAGTGCTCATGTGCAATTTAAGAAATGGCAACATTGAATACTCATAAGGGTTTGTACCGTATGGAACATTTTTGGAGTAGCACCGGCTAGTGCAATATCACAACAGCAAGTCTTGCAAGGAATGGAAGGTGTCAAAATATACATGGACGATGTTGTTGTTACAGGGAGAACAACAGAGGAATATATCAGAAACCTAGAAATGGTATTGGAACTGTATCGCCGGCACTGTATTATATCCGACAGGTGTCAGTGCAGGATTGTTCACTGAAGTTATTTCTGCATATGCTCTTGGCGATACAACTGCCGCAATAGATTTTCAATTATTGGAACACACTTGCAGACCGGTTTCGGGCTGTTTGGCCACTCGTCAGTACAAAATCATCAACATAAAGTCGATGATTTTCGATAATTGAAAATCGAATTCCTTCAGAGTATCATTCCTCGAATTAGGCTGAAGCGAACAACAAAAAACAGGTTTATCATTGCCCCATCCGCCTGTGAACGAGGTAACCAACCGCATATCCGACATTTGCCCAATTCCTCGTATAAGGAAGAAAACTTCACAAATTCAGCAGGCATACTTGGAGACTGGCTATAAATCAAATAATCTGAAAGAACAATTCGTTCGGTTCATTAACCTACATACACTGTAGGTTAATGGACCGACACCTATCACTATTCCTGCATGTGCTGTTGGCGATACAACTGCCGCAATTAGCCAAGGAAGTAGTTGCATGAATTGTTCTTTTAGATAATTTGATTTAAAGTCAGTATCCAAGTATGCCCACTTAATTTGTGAAGTTCGAACAGATCACAAGCCTCTTGTGAGTTTATTTGGTGTTATGATAAGTTTTTTATAAGATTATTCTGTTTTCAAAGTTAAAGATGTTCATATTTTAATTAGTTAAATGTTAAAAGTTTGCATTTATTTTAGTAGTTAAAAGTTAAAAGTAAAGGAACTTTCTGCTTGCTATTGATACTTCTACGAAGTGGCCAGAAGTATTCGAAATGAGGACTATCACAACTAGGGTCACGAAGATGATTGAATGGACTACGGGGATAATCCAAAAGAAAATAGGAAAAATGATTTACTTATGTGACTTTCCAACAGGACAATTATGGAAAAAACATTCAAATCAAATTCGGAAGAGATGAAGGGGAGAAAACTGTGATTGATGAGGTCAGAAAATAAGTAAGCACTGCCGAGACACACAGTGTTGAAGGTAATAGTCTTACATATATGTCAAATATAACCAATAATATGTTTGAAGTTTGTTAGATTAAATAGCGATGAGGTTGGGGAAATAACAAATGTTCACTCTAGTAACACGCCCGAATTCACTTTAGTAGAAACTTGTAACCCCCACTCAGAAAAAAGGAGATCTAGTAGACCTATGAGGGCGCCAAGTAAATTCAATTGTTACGATATGTTTATTGTTCAAGCACGAGTGGGGTGCAATGTATTCAGGTTCATATTTTTATCCTCCCACCAATAAGCTAGAATATATATGCGCGATTCATATATATGGCAGAGCGTGATTGGAAAGAACACAAAGGCACAAAATCAGACATTTTGAAATGGTTCAACGATTATGAATATTGCGACTAAAATTTACATTCTGATTTTTTTAAATATTCATTCGTTTGTAATTATAATGTAAGTAATACAGATAATATATTCAAGAAGTCCACTAATTGGTGGCAATTTTTATCTTTGGTTAATAAACATAATTGCATGCATGTAAAAAAATAGACTGTAATGCAATGAAAATCAAGTTCATGGAATAGGTACAAGAGGAATTCAAGATGATTGGAAAAGAGAGAATTGTTGAAATTCAAGAACTTAATCAATTGTCTGTTCTATAGTTAATGAAATTGGCCGCGGTGGTAGTGCGCCCGACTCACGATCGGAAGACCGTGGGTTTCAACGTTCGCTTCTCTTTATTCAAAACAAAAAAAAAACACCACAAGAAATAACAATACAATATAGTGTGCAAATTGAACTATGGAAGCTGTCACAAATGCTATGCTGGTTGAATCGGACGGTATCTTGAAACACGAGTTTCAGAACACGTGAGAGGCTCTAAAAAACTAAATATAAAAAACCTTACAGCCCTTGTTGAACATGAAAACGAATATGGGCACATTTTTTATTTTGATCATCCAACTATTCTGGATGTTCAACCATATTTATCCAAAATACTTTTGAGCGAAATGAAACATATCTTCAAATGTGATAGTGTTAACACTAGAAGATATGTCGATGGCCTCAATACTGCATATTTCAACTTGATAAAAAAAATACTTGAAAAATTTACCCTTTTTTCATCCTTTCATTTCTGTCATTGATTAAAAAACAGACACCACCTTATCAGAAACACAGATAAAGCCATTCGTTTGTTTCATGTCGTTTTGTGTTGGTGTTGTCTCGAAAATTTGGTCGCTGCAATGTTTTTTATTTTTTTGAAATAATGTATCTAATATGTCTGATGGTTTTTAAAATAGTAATATTATCAACACGAAGAAAATACTTTTCGTTGAGTAATTTAATTAAGAACTCAGGAAATCTAACAACATTGTAAGATAGTTATCGGAAGCAGAAGTATTTGTTTCAGCTTGTTATGTTTTTTATTGCGATAACGACGCTCTGCTATCAAATTTATGTTATTGAAAAACTAAAGTCTGAACCGCTTACGTTCTACTAAGAAACGGGGCTGCTTATACCTTCTGAAACTGTTTTTATTTCGTGAATGTTGTACAATTCCGAATTTAATTAATTGGCAATTACGTGACGTTTTTCAATTATTTCAATAAACGTTGGCGTTACAAAAAACATTAAAAAAGGAAACAAAATAAATGTTGATTTCTTCAAATTCTCAAACATGAATTCTCAAACACAACTTCACTATGTATTCTCACCTTCGAACTACGATGTATTTCCCAAATCTCAAGTAACTCACTTGGAAGTGCGGATTCAACTAATGGAAAAAGTATTGCAGCATACTTTTCAGTTATCACACCTAATGACTA